GCGGGGCTGTGTCTGGCCCCACAGGGTCATGATCCAGCCCGGGGGCTCAGCACCACCCTGGATGGAACCAGCGCCTGGTGCTGGCTCCTCTCATAGCAGAGCAGAGCTCCCCCCCCTCACAGACCCACCTCTCCAGCCAGGACCCGGCTCTTCTGACCCCTCGTCCCCCCCAGGTGATGAATGAAGACGGTCAAACCAGCACCATCAGAGATAAGATCCTAACGATCGATGTGCAGCCGGGGTGGAAGCAGGGCACCAGGATCACCTTCGAGAAGGAAGGAGACCAGGTAACGGCCAAACTGTGACATTCTGGGCCGGGTTTCCTCGAGACCGACTGCGCGCTCGCTGCAGGTTTCCCATCGCTGTGGGCTAACGGAGCGATTCGGTGTTTCAAAGCTCAGAAACGCTCTGAGGAGCCTTTCCTACCTGGATTTTTCTTAGGATAGATTAAAAAATAATGGAAAGAGGAGCTTTTCTGCCTGGCATCACCTTTGTGAAACCCAGTCTGTTTTCTTCTGGCTGAGCACATGTCTTCTATCAAAATTTTTTTCTTTTTTTTTTAAAAAGGAGGAAAATACCTTTCCCTTCTCCATAGCTAGCTGAAAGCAGCAACAAAGCAACAGGCATTCGTGTCACCTTTCCCTGTATAAAATAATTTGTAAAACCATTTCCAGATCTCTTTTCTTCTTTTTTTTTCTCTCCCCCTCCTCAATTTTAGGGCCCAAATGTCATTCCAGCCGACATCACCTTTGTTGTCCAAGAAAAACTCCACCCGAGGTTCAAAAGAAGCGATGACAACCTCATTTACGTCGCCACCATCCCCTTGGGAAAGGTAAAGAGCCGAGCGAGGGGCCGGAACCAGCCCCATTTCCCCTCTGGGGCTGCAAAACATCCGCTCCGTGCCTGGCAGGCGCTGGTCGGCTGCACGGTGGACGTGAGGACGCTGGACGGGCGGCTGCTGAATATCCCCATCAACGACATCGTGGAGTAAGTGCCGTGGGGGCAAGGGGCTGGGGGGGGTCGGATGGGACCTTGCCGCACAGTTTGGTGGCCAAAGAGGTGAACAGGGACGCTCAGGAGGAACCTTGCCCTGAGAAACCCACTCGGAAGCGTGTGGTGGGGCTCTGTAGGTGGAGACATCGGGATCCCCCGTGTCGGGATCGTCCCCCAGCTGCTCTCAGCCCCTTCCTTCGCTTCGCAGCCCCAAGTACTGCAAAGTGGTGCAAGGGGAGGGGATGCCGCTGCTGCAGGACCCCCGGCACAAGGGTGACCTCCTCATCTATTTCAACATCTGCTTTCCCAAGAAGCTCACGCCTGACAAGAAGATGCTGTTGAAAAGCGCTCTCCTGTCCTAGGGGACGATGAACTTCCCGCTCTCCTTCCACCAGTAAAGCTCCAGAGCCGGCACTGGGGCTGGGTGGAGGTTGTTATGAGCACCAGGGACCCAAAAATCGATTTCCCCAGCGACTCTGCTCCATCAGCGCTGCGGAGGGTGATGGAGGATTTTTCGGGGGGTTGAATACTCCCAGCTCTCGTGCGTGGGAACAGCGATGGTTTGGGGGTGACTGTGCACAGGGCTGAGAGCAAAAGACTCAAACCATGAAAGAAAAGACATCTGGATTTACTCAAAGCTTTCTCCCGAGAGAAAAGGGGGGGTCTGGCAGACACGATCCCCTTCGGCGTCAGGGAGGGAGGTGCCACCACGAAGGCAGAGGGCACACGTGGCCGTGAACGTGCACACCCACCTTCAATGTTTATTTTTTTACCTAATCACAGAAATTTTCTCTGCTAGAGCGGATCCCTGCTGGTGCATGACACCCTGGGAAGCCCAACGCCTCTTTTGCGTTCGGATCAGGCCTTTTCCTTCAGGATGGAGGCCAGTAGCATCCCAGGGGCAGGAGAATGACCCTAAATCCCCCCCCAAAAAAGGCAAGGGGTTGATCAGACCCCATAGGGGCGGTTTATTGGAAG